AAATGACGATGAAATCCGGATTCGTTAAAACTGGACTTTGGCCTGTAAATCCTGCCAAAATGCTAATTCGTGAAAGGGACAACGAAGCTTCTTCCCAACCAGACTCATCGTTAGATGTGCAATCCTGTTCCACAACTTCTGATACTACGTTAGACGTGCAATCCTGTTCCATAACTTCTGATACTACGTTTGACGTGCAATTCTGTTCTACTCCAAGTTCATCTTCCGCACGCGAGCAAGCGAAAAAATCGAAAGGCGAGCAAGCAGTAGTAGACGCAATTACTGCTTTACTTCAACCTTCACCTCAAAAAGAACAGATCACTACTCACTCTCGAAGGATTCATGTCAGCAGGTAACATTTCAATTTTCTCAATATTTGAAAAATTCAAGAAGGTACATACATGTAATTTTGATTTGAATTTTCGATGTTTTTTTTTTTGTACTTTTCAGGTGTATTACATCCGATGAATATATTGCCGAAAAAAAAAGAATGGAAGAAGAAAAAGCGAAAAAAGCTGCTAAGCCAAAAAAACGCAAAGGTGCTCGAGTTGAAATGAGCAGTGGCGAGGAAGACGAAGCTTACGTAGATGATCCTGACACGCCTCCTCCAAAAAAAACGAGAAGAAAAAAACGCAAAGCTGATCAGGTTAAAATTTATACGAGTAGCGAAGAAGAAAACGAAGATTACGACGATTACGTAGATGAGCCGCCTCCTCCAAAAAAGACCGAAACGAGAAAGCGCAAAGCCAACCAGGTTGAAATGAGTAGTGAAAAAGAACTTGTCGATTCAGAAATAGAAGAGCTCGATTATGTAATCGTCAGATTCCCAGTCTCACAAAATAATAGAGATCGTTTATGGATTGGTAATGAAATTTTCAGTCATTTTTTACATACTATTTCTGTCATCAAATTTTAATATGTACCCAAAATTGAATGTTAATTTGTTTTTGTGTATGTAGGACAAGTCTTGAAAAAAGAAAAGCGATCAGTCACGGTGAAATTCCTTAGAAAAAAAGTATCGGAGAAATTCGGAGCCATCTTTACATACCCGATTACAGACGATACCATGTCCGTTAACCATTCCCAGATAAAAAGAAAAGTGAAAATCAATTATATAAAAAGAGGAGTGCATGTTTTTCATTTAACAGACGATGAAATTAAAGTTGTGGAGTAATTTTTTAAATTTTTACACGTATTACATATGTACTATGTAATTTACTATATAATTAGTATGTAAGTCAAAAATCTGCATTTTTCCTTGAATTTACCCGAATGATATTGAAAATTGCATTTTTCCGTTTTATTTTTTGAATACATATACTTGAATAATTGATAAAAACTGCATTTTTATTTTTCATTTTTTTGAATGTCCGTTTCTGGATCACTTGTAAAATGATCCACAATTGGTAAATTTTGTATAGCCCAATTCAACATCAATTTTCGCTTTAAAAAATTTTGCTGGTAACTGTAAGTTCTATGTGGCATAGGAAAGTAAAGACAGGCAGTATTTTGTCTCTATGGCGCTGATCCACAAACGGGCCTTTCTGCTCTAATGTGGATCAGAAGGCACTTTAAAAATTGTCGAAGTGTGCAGAATCATAACATCTGGCAACAAAAAAAAGTGTTATACATTATAGAGGAAGCATCAAACAACTGTGGAAAACACTTCCCCTCCCTCCCCCAGCACCCCCTCCCCCTCAAAAATGACTTTGAAAAAAGGTGATCCACAAATGGTACTTTACTGTAATTGTTATTCATAAGCTGAAAGATGATTTTAAAATTCTTTTCATGGAAATGTGGATGTGACAGAAAAAAGCCGTGGATACCTTTTTTGATTTCTAATATATTGTACATAATGTTTTATGAAATAATACAATAAAATAATACATATTTTATAATAAATATCTATAATAAACATATGATTTAGAAAGACAATTTAAAAAATTTGTTTTATTATAATTTATTTTGATTTTACAGCAAATGCACTTACTCTGCTTTTGCTGAGCATACTCGTCGCAGCTAAAACAATAAGTACAGCGCCAACGGGCCGTGTCAATAATGTCAATGCTTTCCTTGACTAATTGTGTCTCAAAACGTAAAACTATTGGTCGTTTAATAGCCAATGTTTCACAAATACATATAGCTAATAGTTTTACGTTTTGAGACAATTAGTCAAGGAAAGCATTGACACGGCGCCCGTTGACGCTACTTACTGCTAGGGAATACCGTCTCTTAGCCTTCCGCGTCCATGAAACGAATCAGTAACCCCGACTGTACATAACATATACATATACAGGATGTCTAAAAAATTTTGACAACTGAAGTATGGAGATAGATTGAGTTAAACTTACCGAAAAGAAAAGTTATTTGCCATACTGCGAAATTCGCAATATTTCCTACTTTACAAATTACTAAATGTGAGCCAATAAGCGCGTAAAAACGATGGTCCTGACCATATATGTAATATTCTTATACGGCTAGTTGAGCAAGTTTCCCATAAGCGAGATCTAACACTGAAGGATAGAAGATAGATGCTTATTGACTCTCCAAGAAAGAGTAGGAGAAGTTCAATAATTGTTAATGCACAAACGTGGCGGCAAAATTGCACGTACACAGCGCGTCCAAAATTCGCGAAATACTACCATGATCAAAAAATAACCGGGATTTATTCATAAAAAAAAAGTACATGTTTATTCTTCAAAATTCGAGTTGTCCCCTTCAAAGTAGTCCCCGTCGGCTGCGATGCACTTGTGCCAGCGTTTGATCCACCCCTCNTATATATATATACATATGTGTGTAAAAATAAATACATGAAATAATAGGACGAAAACAAAATATGCATAAATAAGAAGAAAAAGATTAATCGTTTCAATGGTTATGTTGAGTGTTTATACTTGTCATGAAACGATGACTCTTTTTTGTTTGAGTACGAATATCCGTGTCATATAGTAAAAACAATTTGCATTTGAAATTAAAGTAACATTTAGGTAAAACAAAAAATATGTTTGTAATGGTGACACCTTTCAAAATTCTTTAGGGCAAACAAAAAACAACATACAATATTTTATTTTCTATGGTTTGTAACGCATTAATCAAATTGTTATCAATTGTAATTATTAGGTCTATCGGAAAGTTCTGTCCGTTTTTGGAATAAAACAAAATACAAATTTTTCTTACCGTCAATAAACTTTGTTAAATAATATAATTGCCATTATTATTAATGATTTCTTGTCAGCGTGAGGGCAATTTGTATATCCCATTTTTGAAAAATTTGTATTTTGTTTTATTCCAAAAACGGACAGAACTTTCCGGTAGACCTAATATATTGTAGATAATTACAAATTCAAATGTGAAGGCCAATCGGAGCAACAAACACGGGTGTATGTGTGTTGAAATCCATAAATTTATTGCAAAATTTGTACAAACATTTTGACCGGGAATTCGGTCCTTATCAATGTGTATCTAATAAAACAAATTGAATAACAATCTTTTAAAAGGTATTACACAAAGCATTTTTTGAACACAATAATTTAATGATAGTAAAAATATTAAATACGTACGAATTGTTAAGTGTAATGTTCAATCAGTCACGACCACATGTTTCAAAAGATAAAAATTAAAAATTAAAAATTAAACCGTCAAAAGAAGATGTCAATAGTAAAATTTGTCAAAACATGACTAAACACTATCGTGGTCCAAGTAAGACTGAGCAAAACTGTTATTCAAAATTTACACACAAACAATTCTACGCTAGACATACAAATTACCGATCAGCGGTAAATAGCTAATATCTAACAATTCTGTATCGCTCTGCAAGTTCAATGGATTCTTTTGACTTTTAATATGAAGCATTTCAGATACGAGACGTTTATAATATGATGGCTCCATGTCCAGAATATCAATGTTGTCCCAGTCAAAATCATGTGAACAAGTGATTCTGTGCTCAGTAATAACAGAATTCTGCGTTGTGTTTTGTTTAATATGATTTTTATGTTCACGTATTCTGGTCTGTAACATTCTACATGTTTGGCCAACATAAGATGCATCACAATCCTTGCAATTAATCCTATATATCACAGTAGATTTCATCAAAGACGGAAGAGAATCTTTATGTACTTTAATCAATCCAGATAAATTATTAAAACCCGTAAAAGCCATCCTAGTATCGTTGTTATGCGGTAAACAATAATTCATTCTCTTAGCTACGTTTTTTATGTAAGGGATGGTAAACCACTTATAATTTTTGTTGGAATTTGTGTCAGAAATAAAATTTTTTATGTCATTGTTTTTAAAAAAATTTTGCTTTAGACGGACGTTGATTATATCAAAAATGAATTTAATAGGGTATTTAATAGATACAGTAAAGTACCAAAAGTGGATCGGGGCCCGTTTTTGGATCAGTTTGATTTATGGAGCCCGTAACAGCATGACAGCTAACGCACCTCACGTATCTTTTTTGTACTACTTTAGGCAACATTTTTCACCAGGCACCTGATCGCTCAACGTATCTCCGGCCTGTGAATCATGCTTTTTATCAGTTCGCGACGAAAATAACGAAAAATCGCGATTTTAGTTTTACTGTGTGACAAATATTGTGAAATTGAGTTGGTTATTATTTGAAAAAATCGTTTTCTGGTGGTTATCATTGTTCAATGTGAATGTAGAAACCCGTTTAACCAAAAAATTGTTGTCCAACATCATTTCAGTTTGATTGCGGCACTGTATGTTTGATTGTTTTGAAAAAGTGATATTGACCTCAATTAATCACATTGGTTGCTGAAAACAATCGTAAGTACTTTTTAAATTATATTACCGGGTGTTTTAGTGCTAACCGTTGCATTTCCGCGTAATATATTTATATACCCATAAACGGTCTGATCCACATTTGGACAATGTAAAAGTGATCCACATTCGGTCTTCTTTTTACAGATGAGTTATACGGAGGAAGAATTGGAGCAGGCGGTCAGCC